ATATAGTTGATATGCTTACTTGTAAATATTTTGTAAATGGGTGATACCCCTTTGGTATTGATGATTCTTTAATATAGTTTACCTTTTATACTAAAAAAAAAAAAAAAAAAGAGAAAGGAAGCAAAAACTTTGTGGTAAGGGGTCATCTATACTGGGCTATGGACCTTATGGCTCACAAGAAATTGGAAAACCTTTGACAAATGAAGTACTTCGTTTGATGAGCTTTGGAGAGAGTAATGTTTTTAGCATCCTTATGGGTCAAGACATATGGAAAATTCTCATATCTTGGTATATCAGATTTACACTGGAATTGGGAGATTGTTATCTTTTGTGTTTAAGTTGTTACATTCGTTTTGTATTATATCTCCTTATAATTTCTTTTCCTCACTATAGTTTGAAACGCTGGGAGGATGTCTTACCCTCCTTCCATTATATTTTTCTCCTCTTTTCTTGATAATACTTCTTAAAGATTGGAAATATTACTCCTAATAAGATAGAAAACTAGTACTTATAAAATTAAGGGTACTACTGCTAATAAAATAGGAAATACTACTAATATAAAAAGGAAAACTAAATCCTAATAATAATAAAATTCTAAAGCTACTAAAATTATGATCCTGTTAAATAGTATATAAGTTTGATATTTAACAGATTTATAAATTTTTAATCTATTTAAATACTCTATAACTACTCAGTCTGCATCATTTACATTCTTTATTCTTATTTGTAGTTTCTGAGATGTCTTAATAATATTACCTTACTCAGCTTCGGTGGTAGTTTCACCTATGAACTCTCTGTTATCTTAGTTTATTGATTTCTTTTTGTTTATATGCAATCTGCCCGAGCTATAAGTGGTTTCTTAAAAAAATGCTTCTGTTTTCCTTTCATTTGTTTTCTGTAATGATTGAGCGATCCTCGTTTATGTAAACCTTTTTGGTTATTTTATAGCTTGATTTTATTTTCTTTTCCTGTTCCTTTTGTTGGAAGTCAATGCTCTAACTGGTATCAGCTTTATCCTTTAGAACTTAAATTAAAAGGAAATACTTGTAGTAACTTTCAATTCTCCAAAGACTCCTGTTACAAAATCCATAACAGGTGGAAAGAATTTACCTTGCGGTTAATGCTTTTTTTTTACCTGGTCAAGTTTTTAAGGTCTAATAAAAATTCTTATTTTGCATTATGATCGTTTTCAACTTTGCTCTATTATTTTAGGTTGTACTTCACAAAAATTGGGCTTGGGTCTCCACCGAAGGACTATTATGTGCAAGTTGATACAGGAAGTGATATCCTATGGGTGAACTGTGCTGGATGCACCAGTTGTCCCAAGAAAAGTGATTTGGGTGTATGCTTCCAGAATCCTACATCTTGAAGTTACAATCTCACTATTTTGTGTAATTTATATATACATATATGTGTAGATCTTTTGTGGTTATTGTAGAATGCTTGCATCTTATTATAATTGATTATTGACAGATAAAACTCACATTATATGATTCGAAGAGCTCCTCTACTGCAAAAAGAGTTACTTGTGATGATGATTTTTGTACTCTTATAAGTTCCAGTCAAGCATCTACTTGTCAATCAGGCTCCCCTTGTAAATATATTGTTGTTTATGGAGATGGGAGCTCAACTAATGGATACTTTGTGAGGGACACTGTACAGCTAGACCAAGTGACAGGAAACCATCAAACTAGATCAACAAATGGGAATATTGTGTTTGGGTAAGTTAAATTTCTATTATTGCACTCTGTTGTCATTTTGTGCTAAGAAACTAGGGCTTATTTGCCTGCATGACATTTTTTTGTGTTGAACTTTGACTTTGTCTTGTATCAGGGTTGTAAATTGTTAGGAATAATAGCAATTTGAACTGCCTGAAATCAATTAGTTAAGTTAGTGAAATTTTTCTTCAATTTCTCAAATAACTCTTGCTTGGTGGTATTAGTATGTAGCAGGTACAAACTGGGTTGCAAGCTGTCACCGTACTATTAGGTTGTTGTTGTGCTGTACCGAGATTGGTGCCAGTACAAATGTCATATTGGGTGACATGCCAATCGTGATGGAAGTCTAATGACATATCACCTATTCTCCCTTTTCTCCATCTATTCTTCTTGATTCTTGCTTGGCGGTATTAGTCTATAGCTGGTACAAACTGGGTTGCAAGCTGTCACCGTACTATTAGGTTGTTGTGCTGTACCAAGACTATTGCTAGTACAAATGTCATATTGGGTGACATGCCAATCGTGATGGAAGTCTAATGATGTGTCACCTATTCTCCCTTACTTCTCTCCATCTACTCTTCTTGATTCTTCTCTTCTTCTTCCTCTTCCCAACCTACTATTCTCTTCCTTCGTCACTCTCTATTCTTAAGCAATTTTTTTGGCCAACCTTGTCGACCAATGAACAGTGGCTTGAAAACTTAGTTGGGAAGTGAGTTGCTCTTGGCAAAACACCTTTGTTGACTATGAAGATGTTAAAAAATAACGGTCAAGCGGTAATGATTGAGTCATAGAGAATAACCCATAGAGGATTCAACAAGGTGGTTAGACCAACATTGGCATGATTTTGTGACCAAATCTATGAGACTTTAGGTGCTAAGTTCTCAGAGAAACTAGAGGCCAAATTAGTTGAGGATGGTGGTCAACTGTAGGCTTTGCTGGCTGGAAATATGTGCACCCTGCTGAGTACGCTGCAAACCATGCACAACCCACTTGCTCTTTCACATAACTTTGGACAAGTAGTAACCCTACATCATCTCGCGGATTGTTCCATAGAGTGCAAGGGAGAGAAGTTGGTATATTCACTGCAAAGAAAGGTCCTTGAGTAGCATGCTTGGGCAAAAAACACCCAGGATTGATATTCCTGTGTTTGAAGGAACAAATCCAATCTTGGCTGAAGAGGTGCAATAAGTATCTTCATGTGTATGGGGCCCTTGATTTGCCAAAATATAGACGTTGCTAACATATATGTGGGAGAAGAACCGGACACTTGGTTTCAAGGATGACAAGCCCAACAAAGTTACTAGTTAGGATGGACAAACATTTGGAGAAGACTTGCAGAATGTCTGGAGACCCCTTGGTGGTAGATGTGTTAGAGGAGTTCAACAATTGAGGTCAATGATGTTAAGAGGTAATCCTCACCTTAGTGGAACTTTTCTGATATCTAGTTTCATTAGGAGCCTAAGTGAGTAACTAAGACCCATGATCAAACTCAATAAACCACAAAGCCTATGAAAAAACACAACTTGAATCACAACACATTGAAGATATGCTTCAGGGCCAAATGAGTGTTAGCCAAAACCCTCACCGGAACTAGAAAATGACACACATAACCCTGCTCATCCTGTAAAGCCATATTTTCTGATCCAAACCACACACAATACTTGCCCATCCTTCAGGAGCTAACAGAAATTATTATTATGGCCGAACACCAACTCAAAAGTAGCAGCACAAGACCACAATAAGAGAACCAAAGAAACCCTTTATTGCTTGCTGTGTGGACAGAAATATTTTTCTGGGCATTAATATAAGGGGAAGCAAGTGATGATATTTAGAATTGGTGGAAGAGAAGGATGGAGAGGACCAAGGTCAAATGTAAGGAGATGAGATAGCAGAAGAAACAAGAGAAATGGAGGACACTGGGGAAATTTCTGTCCAAGCATGGAAGGTCAAAACAATGGCTGCACAGTCAATATATAGTCCGTAGTAAACTCCAAGCCCATACTTATACTTGACAATGGTAGTGCCCACACCTTGATGGATGCTAAGGTGGCAAGATGGTATAATGCAAGATTACTGGAAGCACCAACTCTGAAAGTTCTAGTAGCCAACAGATAGAGAATGGTGAACCTATACAAAATCGTTAAACTCAATCGTATGATGCAGAAAATGTGATTCAAACACTCATTCCATGTGTTAGATTTTTAGGATTCTACCATGTCATATTGGGTGCTGACTGGATGAAGAAACAAAATCCAATATCATTGGACTTTGAGAAGCTTCAGGTGGTGTCTATGAAGGAAGGAGAAAAGGTGCTGATACAAGGAGTATCTAATGAAGGAAGTTTTAGGCACTCATGAGGGTAGAGACTGTCTAGATTGGTGCAGAAGTAATGGAAGGGAACTAGCAACTTGCTGCATACTAAAAAGTAGATTGCTGGTGAAGATAGAAAAGGAGAATTGAAAGCTGAAGCATTTCAGACTTTGATTCAACAATATCAAGGCATTTTTCCAAAGCCAAGTTCTTTGCCCCATGGGGAACGTGACCAGGCAATTCCATTAGTCCCTGGAGCATCAATGAATCTCAAACCTTACAAGTATTCGTACTTTCCAAAAACTGAGATAGAAAAACAGATCCAACTGATAGATAGTTTTGTAGTCAGGCTAAAATACCATTTGTTACCCCAGTGCTACTAGTAAAATAAAGATGGAATTTGGGGGTTTTGCTTTAAATTATAGACAATCGAGTACTATTACAGTTAAGGACAAGTTTCTGATACCAGTGATAGAGGATTTCTTGAATGAATTACATGGGTTGTCGATATTTTCTAAAATGGATTTCAGGGTAGGCTACCATCGTATCAAAGTTAAGGAAGTAGACATTTATAAAACCACATTTAGAACCCACCTCACCACTTCGAATTCAAAGTGACCTCTTTTGACTTTACTAGTTCCCCAACTACCTTCCAATTCCTGAGAAGCCACATTTTTCAGACCATACTTGAGGAAATATTGCTGGTCTTTTTTGATGACATACTAGTATACAGTCCAACTTGGATGGACACCTTACCGCTTAGAGATAAGCTGATTTTTTAACCTTGGATGACATACTAGTTTTATTTTCTTTCTCTTTTAAGCTGATTTTTTTTTTTAATTTCTTCAATTTCTTTTCACTTTCATTTGCCACTTCAATTTTGATTCCTATGTATGTTTTATCTTTGTCACTTGAAGTGCATTTGATGAAATGCCGCTCCTAGATAATTTGTTCATTTCACTTTGGAAATAGGTGTGGAGCTAAACAGTCTGGACAGCTTGGTGGGTCTCAATCAGCAGTTGATGGTATACTTGGATTTGGTCAAAAAGAGACATCCATGATTTCACAGCTTGCTGCTGCTGGAAAGGTGGCAAGAAAGTTTGCACACTGCTTAGATAATGTCAATGGTGGTGGAATTTTTGCCATTGGAGAAGTGGTGTCCCCAAAAGTGAAAACAACTCCGATGGTACCAAATCAGTATGTGATGCTATCTTAGGTTATTTATCTTTTCTTTACATTTTATGTTTGACGCAAATCTTGTCTGCTTACATGTTCAAATACTTTTCTTTTTTAAATTTATTGCTCGTATTATGTGAAAACATTTATTGTGTTCTAGATGCATACATGGTGAGAGTAGTACTCTTAAGGTAGTCCTCATGTTGCATAATTAAAATTTTGAATAAAACGACATTGTGTCGAGGAAGGTTCCACCCACATATGGCATAAACACTATGACATATAGTCCAAAATGTCAACAAGCTCTTCCTCATTTGCAAGAGGTTGTGCTTTGAACCAAAGGTTCAAAATAAAATACGCATCTAGTTGTTTTCAGTTGTGTTTCAGGGAGTCTACATTTCCCCCAAAACATGCCCTCTTACTCCTTTGATTCTAAATACTTAGAATTAGAAGTGGCTTGAGAAGTCAAAGCTCAAAGTGGTATGATTAAGCAGCGGAAACGTGGTGGGCCTATAACCCACAGGTTCCAGGATCGAAACTTGGCTCTGATACTAATTGTAACGGTCCCAAAAACTCCAAAGGAGATAAATTATAAATTTAGTGTGGAAGTGAAATAATAAATTAAGGTTTACATTCCTTACACAATAATTCAGATTAACCAATAAGGTACGGAAATGACCGTTTTAAAAGAAATAGCGAAAAATCAAAGAAATAAACGGAAAATAAATAACTAGGCGTCCTACTCGCAACCCTCTTGTGGATCGGGATCTGGATCCTGATTTTTTTGATCGGAAATGGTTAATGAAATAATGAGGTACACTAACCCAATAAAAATATCACGTTACTCACTGACACAGAAATAAAGGTTGGTAGAAATCATAAAAACAATTAATGGAGCTCTTAATTTAAGTAAATTCATTTATCATAAATAAAATCATTCACCGCATATTTACTATAGCGAGATTTTCAAAAAACAACTTATACAGTTAATAATATAACACATCATAATTTCATATGCAATTAGTCGGAACAACAACTTTTCATTTTTTTAACCTAGTGGTATTCATGGGGCCCATAGGAATGTCCCCATTACGCGTGAACCATTTTTTAATATTTTTAATTAACAGGCCATCCCAAGACCCCGTCTAGTATGAACGCCAAAAGATACTATCTCTCAATACTCCGTCCGGTATGAGGGTGAAACGGGTCATCCCCATACCCCGTCCGGTATGAGCACCAAATTACCAAATCTCGATACCCCGTCCGGTATGAGGCAACGTTCACGGTAGGGTTCCCTATGTATCCGGTCCGTCCACCATATTTCAAAATATCCAGTAAAGCTGCCGTTCATCCATCTGCTTAATCAAATAATTTTCATTTACCTTTAATTTTCAGTTTTCCAATTCAACCGTAATCATATAAAACAGACAAAACATGCATTAAATGAATACAATCGCATCATCATACCAATTTTAGTGTATTATTATGCATTCGAATACTGTAAAATAAGGCAATTGGTTAAACACAACAAACAATAGTAAATAACCGGTTCTGGTTCCATTAGTAATCTTTAATTAATTATGAATATTTTTTAAATTTCACAAAATACCATATTATTTAAAATTAAACTTCAATTCTATAACAGTGAATGAGGTGAAGGATTCTTACTCAAATTAATGTCCGCAATGCTAAACTTTTGACTGCGTTTATAGACGGTCCCCGTGTTCCATAAATTTTTCTTCGGGGATTAAAACGCGCTTCAAGTACCTAAAAATATCCCAAAAAATCAAAAATCAGTGATTTACCTCGGGTTGGCTGTTTTCGGCCGGTTTTGTACCAATCCCTGCGAGAAAACACGTTAAGGGGCATCGATTGACCCAAAATAATCGAAAACCGAAGCTTACCAGTGGCGGGGTTCTCTAGTGTGGTGGCTTCGCCGGCTCACCTTCGCGGTTGGGTGTTTTGCTTCGGTTAACCTGTAGAGAAAGGAATGGTGATTACAATGGTGGAAGAATTATATGAAACGGGAATCGGGAAGGGCCTCATCAGAGGCGTTTTTTACTTTTGCCTGCAGTGGCGGCACCGGACTTTGCCCGCGGCTTCTGGCCAATCTGTGGGTCCTTTTGCTCCGATTTGATCATGGGGGTATTTAAAATCGAATTTTGAGCAAAAGGACAAATTTTTATCTCTTTTGACAGTTGGAAGTGGCTTCGGCGCGACGGGGGGCGGCGGTCGGCTCCCTTCCCGGCTACTGGGTCTTCTTCTTCGGTGGGAGGGTCTGGCGGTTAGGGTTAGGGTTAGGGTGAAAAGGGTTATTTATATCCGTTGCGATTTGATATTGGTCGTCCATCGCGTTTGATCTGCACCGTCCGATCGCATTTAAATAAGAAGTGAATCTGGTCCGTTCATCGTGATTTGATATGGCCCGTTTGATCGCGTTTAAATAGAAAGGAGATCTAGACCGTTCATTGCGTTTAATAATGACTTCCAATTGCGTCTGAGGAGGGAACGGATCCGAACCGTTCGCGTGCGCGGGAACGAATCCGGACTGTCTGATCGCGGGCACACGGATCGACAGCGTGACCTCCTGCGTGCCACCGTGTTAGCGTTCCTTGCCACGCGGTGTTTTCCGTTTCGTCGAGATTGCTGACTGGGCGTCCTACGTGGTATAATTTTTTTAAATTGCGTTTTGATTTATAGTTTCTGATTTTTCTTTCAAAAATATATTTAGAACCTAAAATTTCACTATTTTTTTCCAAAATTGTTTTCAATTTTATCATCCTTTTAATTTTCTTCATTTTTACATTAAATAAAAATTAAAACATAAAATTAAAAAAAATTATATTTATATATTAATTTTAATTACATTAAAATTAAATAAATTAAGGATATTACAACTCTCCATTCCCTTAAAAGAAATTTGGTCTCTCAAATTTGTTTTTCTCTCACTCAATCAAATAGTCAGGGATGTTGGGCTCTGAAGTTTGATTTTAGCTCCCATGTAGCCTCTCCCGGTGTGTGATTTTGCCATAGGACCGTAACAAAGAGAATTTTCCAATTGCGAAGTACTCTGCTCTTTCAGTCCACAATACTGATCGGTACTTCTTCGTAGGATAGATCTTCCTGTAATGAAAGAGACTCATGAGTCAAGACGTGAGAGAGGTCCGGGTTGTACTTGCGTAGCATGGACACGTAAAACACATTATGAACCCTGGAAAGTTCTGGAGGTAGTGCCAGTCTGTAGGCGACGATGCTAATTCTGTCTAAGATTTCAAATGGCCCAACAAAGCGGGGATTTAGTTTTTCCCTCTTGCCAAACTTACTGATTCCTTTGAAAGAAGTGATCTTAAGGAACACCCAATCACCTTTCTCAAATTTCAAATCCTTCCTCCGGGTATCAACATAATTCTTCTGCGTGCTTTGAGCCGTCTGAATGTTCTTCTTGATCTTAACTGTTTTGACTGTAGTCTCCTCTACAAGA